AAAAAAAAAAAAAAAAAAAACAAACAAACAAACAAAAAACAAAAACAAAAAAAAAACATAACAAAAAATGAAATATGATATTCAAACTAATTTGCCTATAAATACCCACTAAAACACAATTAATTTTCACCCAACATACCTCCTTCAAATTAAAAATAAATAAATAAATATAGAATATCAGTTAATAGTTAAGAGAGAAATGAAGCTAACCACATTAGCCACCCTTCTCCTGGCCCTCCTCTTCATGGCCAACCTCCACGAGTCAAAGGCCGACAAGGACCAGCCACCTGACGGGGTCTCGGCTTTTTGCCAGTCAAAGTGCGACTACCGGTGCTCAGAGGCCGGCCGCCGGGACCGTTGCCTGAAATACTGTTACATATGTTGCGAAAAGTGTCACTGTGTACCGTCCGGGACTTCCGGTAACAAGGACGAGTGCCCTTGCTATAGGGACTGGAAAACCCCAAAGGGTGGACCTAAATGCCCTTGAGATTATTATCCTCGTATCTATTGCGATTGTTGAAAATAAAATGTGCAAATAAGTGTAGATTTGCATGGAAAGTTATGTGTGTTTGTGTGTTTCTAAATTTCTATGGTGTGTGTTGATGATATACAATATTGAAATACAATGTTACTCCTATATTTGAGAATAAAATAAAGTCCACCTTCTTGTTGTTCCATTATACGATAGCAAATAAAAGACCATCACTTTTTTATAGTCACCAGCAAGCTTAGATGCATTTCTTGCTGCTAAAACTAGAACAATACATTAGCAGAACAAAATTTGAAAGAGTATAAATGAAAAAGAACATAAATAAATCAAAATCACTACTTGGACTTGTATGTAAGATAGCACCAGGAAAAGAAATATGGATTTTGTAACCTTGATGGTGCAGAGGTTCTATTCCATCTGGGACTTCAAAATCTGAAAAGGTACAGAGCAACTGAATTAGATTACGACACCAAATTAAGTGAAGATTTAAATTGCTAAACCCAATGCACAAACACAAGGCGGTGTTCAAGTTTTGCAGTAAAATTCAGGTATATATTTTACCAGACAATATTACAATTTGTTTTCCAATGCACATTAATTATCAGGTACAAGCTTCGCCAGTCATTGCATTCGGTGAAGTTCGATAAATATAACATCTCTAGCCGCAGAAGAAACCTCAATGAAAAACACAAGGTATTCATAGCTCCAATGCATGTTATGCCTTTCCATTTTTCATCATTTTTATTTTGTTGCTTAATTTTTTCAGCCCAACACATCCGCAAGAAAGAAAATAACGAATCAATAGAACCTCACACATCGAAATGCAAGCCCTTTACATATAGTACATTATTATTTTGCATGAGAGTACTCAGAGGAAGCGATTGCATTGTTGGCACATGAGCTGAGAAAGGAAGTTCCATTCTCATATCACATCCCAAAACGTCATTGAAAACTCAAATGACTCATTTTACTTTGCTTATCCAGCTAAAGTAACCAACTGCACATTCCAAATGTTTTCCAATTACATGTTTAACTTAATATTGTCAGATACTAAGACAAAAACAGCAAAAACACCAAACAAATGTACCAAAACGTTATTCATGGCATATCAATTAATATAAGCAACAAACAAGACTAGTCTGAATAACTTACCACTACTCCATAACATGCAGAAAGAAAATCCCTCTTAGATTTTTCCATACGCCAAACGCCTTCTATGGGACAGCTTCATCTTAGCTTGACGATGCCTCCTTTTACTACTCTTGGATAAACCACCCTCATCACCTTTCGACGCACCCTTTTCCCCTTTGCTAACTATTTCCTTACCATCATTTTCTGCCCTGTCCTTAACCTCGCTCATCTTTTTCTGTTTCAGCTGGATAGTTTTAATCCTGGGCACCTTCCATTCTTTCTCCCTGTATGGAGCTATCTTCTTCAACGAGACGTACTGATTCAGCTCCTTGTCATCCGTTGTAAGGATTTCCACTGGGTTCAGCCCAAATCTCCGGGCCTTGACGGGCCTGTACTTGAATCTCGTCTTAAGGTCCCCTATCGTGTCCTCATAATCCAGCTTGTAGTACTCCTCCATCAACTGCTCCCGAACCGCCTTCTCCACATCACTCATTTTACGCTTTCTCTTTCGTTTACCGTCACTGGGCCCAACATCCTCTTCAGCATCCCCATTTTCACTGATCATGTCCCCTTTCTTTTTCAAGAATTCCTCCCTGGCCGATAAAAACCCTTCGCGGGACCCACCTGCCTCATCCCATCCCTTCGGGAGCCCGAGCAGTTCATCCTCCTTGTCAAAATCGGGTTTTTCGATCTCGGCATCCTCATCGTTTTCACTCCCAAATCCCGGGTCGGCATCCTCGGCATCATAATAATCGTCCCCAAACGCCTCCTTCATTTTCTGATCATAAGCTGCAGGGTCGAATTCTTCCTCCAAGTCATCCTCATCGAGAAAGACACCCTCTTCTTTCCCGATACCAGCCACCTCCCGAATTTTCTCCAATTTCCCCTTAATTTCTTTTTTCTTCAGATTCTTCAGCCTCTTGAGCTCCTCCTTGCGCTCGAACTCGGCCTGCGCCATTCTCTCCTCTTTCCTCTCCCTTTGAGACTTTCTTGCATTATCCTTCTTCCTCACAGACCCTTCGATTTTCCTCGAGTGGCCCAGGATACGATCACCTGCGTTCTCCTCATACCTGAAATTATAGCTCCGCTCATAATCTTCCTGCCTCTCGATTTCCTCCTCGTCCTCCGAGTATTCTATGTCATCATCATCATCCACAGAGGGTTTGCTTTTCCCTTCGTCTATCCACATTCTGTTCCGCAGGTAGTTCTTCAGGAACATGCTATCTTCGTCCAGCTTCTCATCCTCCCCGAAATACTCATCCAGTTTACCCTTAATTTCATCGTCACCATCATCTTCATCTTCTTCTTCTTTGGCCCCGCTTTTCTTCAGCGTCAGAAAATCCTCCCCATCGTCGTTTTCTTCCTCCTCCACCGCTTTCAGAAACTCCTTCCTTAGCTCCTCCTGCTCCTCGGAATAACTCTTCAACCTTTTCTGGTCCTGATCTTCATCCTCATCATCACTGTCAAAATCCGCGCCCTCCTCGATCAAATGCTGAGCAACAACATTTTTCAAGTACATCGGCTTATCCTTCTTCTTTTTCTTCTTCTCCTCGTTTTCTTCGCTCGCAATTTCAAAACCTTCATCGTCATCTGAATCTGAATCTGAGTCGAACAGCTTTGCGTCCTTGTCCCTCAGAACAGGGTCCTGTTTCTTCACCTTGATTAGGGCGTCGAGGAACTTGGAATCGGTTTTTTTGCTCGGCCTCATCAGCTCCTCTTCTGAGGAATCATCGGAATCCGATTCCGACGAGTCAACTCGGCCTTGCTTCTTGAGCTCCTCGTATCTCTGCAACTCCTCGCGCTTCTTGTTGTGCTCGTACCGCTTGGCGAACTCGTGGTTGATCTCGATCTTCGATACATCATCGTCCGGGAAGTCTCCGTCGTCGTCGAACAGCTTCAATCGACCCATCGCCGGGAGGTTGAACGTCGGAGGTACAACCTTGCAATTCAATTTAGGGATTTCGCTAGGGTTAGGGCTTCGGTGTCCTAGTAGGGTGTATTACGTTTTAGACAACAGTAACATATGGGCTGATGTTCGGGCTCTAAAAAAGCATGAGATGTAGCCCAGTAAGGCTATTTTACATGCCCAATATTGAAATTTATTACAAGTATGTAATAAAATAATTAAACTCTATTATGTAATTACTTATCCCCTCCCCCTATATATTAATCGCGTTGAGCCTACGTGGCTATTTCTGGTGCTTCGAAATCTTATGTGAAAAAATTATATTCTTCGTTATTAGGCTTGTGGAAATTTTAATTTAATTCCAAACAAAAAATAATTAGGTTCGGATTACCATAAATATGTTGATTATTTATGGTCATGTTACATGTATTAATTGTATTTTAATATTATTTCTTATTATAACTATCGAATTGTATATATATTTTAAAAATTAATAACTTTTGTATTTTTTATCAGTTTTACATATATAATATTTCAAATTAATCTTCTTTAAAATTATTTTTAATATTACTTAGAAAAATAAAATTATTTATCAACTAATATATTTATATTTCAAGTAGTTATATGATATAAGTTATAAAAATTAATATAATATAACACATGTAAGTCATAAGTAACACATATCATTCTAGAATATATAGTAATATATTTTTTGTGTAAAAAAGTAAACTAAATTTAATATAGTTTTTTAATTAATTTTAAAATTTAAGAATAATTTTTTAACAAGCACCCGTGTAATACACGAGTGTTGTACTAGTATTAATAATATTAAGAGAAAAAATCAAATTAAATAATTTAAATCATAATCTATATATATAATATCCTCCCTATATATAATTTCAGAATGTGTTGAGCCTACGTGGCTGCTTTTGGTGCTTCGTAATCTTACTTGGCGAAGAATCATGCTTTGTAATTAGGTTTGGACAAATAATATTGATATATTAATAAATAATAATTTAGGTTTGGACATTCCATAAATATTATTTAGCTAACTTAGGTATTTTAATATCAATTGTACTAATATAACCCTTTAATTCTTTGTATTTTATATAGTGAGGCACTAAGTAACTAATGTATCCTTGACTTTTGATTTGTTTCCTCCAATTAGCTATTGAATTGTAAATGTACTTTAAAAGTTGATAACTTTTGTATTTCTTATCGGTTTGACATATATAATATATCAAATTAATCATCTTTTGATGATCTTCGATTTGACATCCATATTGTATATATGAAATAAATAAATTATATTTATCTTTATAATAATAAAAAATAATAATATTTATTAAAATTCATTAGAAAAATAAAATTATTCTAAAATTGATATATTTATGTTTAATGTAGTTATTTGTTGTAAGTTACAAAAATCATTACAGTATAACACATGTAAGTCGCACAAATAAAAAGTGTCATACTAACTATATAATAATATATATATATTTATAAAAGGTATTTAGAGTTTCTATTATTTTTCTCATTAATTTTATATTTTAAGAAAAAAATTAGCACATACCCGTGTAATACACGGGCGTTGTACTAATGAATTACTATTTACAAAAAATAGTAAGAAAAAAAGTTATGGAAATAGTAATTACATTCCAATTTTGGAATGTTTTTTAATTTTTTTAATTAAAAAATCAAACAGCATTTACTGCTACCATGAATCATGTAAGTTGTTATAATTGAATTTTAAATTTCAAATTTAAAAAAATAAAAAATAAAAAAATGCCTAATTGTATTTTGCAATTTTTGTAAAGAAAAATTTAAATCATAAAGATTGAAATAAAACAATCTATCTTTATCTTAGTAGCAAATCTATAATAATATATAATATGGCAAGGGCAACACGTTAGATTAAGGGAATAATTTGAGAATTTGTCGTCAGATGAAACAATATTAATGTGATTAAAATCAACACCCTAATTAATTAGTATATGAATAATGAAGATAAATGTGTTGTAAGTATTTTTACCGGAGTAGAATCAAGAGATTCGAACACCGGGTCGTATCACAAGGAAGGTTAGCCGGATTATTTGTACGAATATTCAATCACACGAAAAAGGAGAAACAAGTCCTAAACACTCTAATTCGATTGGTTTGGTTTGATTTTATAAATTACGAATAACAAGAACAAGACTAGCAATTTCAAATTCACAATTTAAAGTTTAAATTCGAATAATGATAAAAGGGCTAGGGTATCAGGGATATCGTCTCCGGTTCTCAAAATAATTTACGAACAATCAATTACTCGACTAAATGACTCAAAAACTACTCGTCTAGAGGTTCATTCTCAATATCTCACGAAACAAGAGAATAAGCGTAAACAAGTCAATCATGAATCGAATAGCACATAGACAATACGTCACCGAACAAGTCTATTCTTAACGAGCCTAGGTCGAACGATTTATCCCCTTTCGGTTTCAAAATCGATTAATTAGATTGAGATGGTGATCAAACATCTAAACCCTAGGTTAAGCACAACTCGAAAAAATTGAGCAAATTAATCAAACACATAAATGAAATCGAACCGGAACGATGATCCCCTAACCATAGCTAATGAATTTAGCCACTCATTGCAATATTAACACAAGAATTCATAGAAATCCAAGCACAAAACATCATAATTAAATGAGAAAAGATGCTTACGATTGATAACAAAAACCAATGTCGAGAAAGAACAACGAGCAATCCAAGATCCAAAGCTAGAAAAGGAGTTTTTATGCTCCAAAATCCAATCCAAGATCAAAAGCAAGAAAAAGAAAAGTTCTAGAGATGAAAAACTGAAGAAAAACCCTGTCCAGAATGAGTTACAATCAGCCCTAACTCGATCATAAGCCTTTCCATTTTGAAATCCCAAGAAAAACGCAGCAGTTACAAAACGGACCTTAGCGGCGCTAAGGGGTTAGCGCCGCTAAGCCATGTTAGCTGCCCGTCTCAGTACTCGAACAATTCAAAAGCGCCGCTAATACAGGGGCCTTAGCGGCGCTAAGGTCCCGTTGTCCAAAATTTTTGCCCTTTTTTTTATACAGTTGGCTTGCTCGGCTACGTCGCTCGGGTACTGCTCGAGCTGGGAATTCGATCCTCGCATGCCTGGGTCCCACAAAATTATGTTCGAACCATCCACTTCTCATCCGAATGAACGTTCGCCAATCCGATCAACTCAACACCTGAAATCGCACCACCGGAAAAACACGAAAAACAGAGAAAATAGGAGGAAAAAGCAACAGCAAAACTATACAACCTAAAAATGAAGATAAAAGCATAAGAAAAGACTAGACGGACCGAAAAGACCTAAGAAAGGACCTAAAACGGGGGAAACAAAACACAAAATATCAAAGAAAATAGTAACAAAAACGGGACAAACAAATGATAATTCAATTTTTATTAATTAGAATTAATAAGAGAAAAATACAGTTTTGTCAATAAGATTGTGAATGGATATCAAATAATATTAAGACATGCCTAACAATTAAAATAATATTATTACACATTTGATATTTTAATTTTCAGCCAATTTTAATTAATAATTCATTATTTTATATCATATTAATTTTAATCATTTCATTTTTATTTTGTAATTTTCATAATTTGAATGTGAATATTGTAAGCTATGGCATATTTTAAATAATTATCATTTTTTTTTTTTTTGTGGATGTGTCACATGTGATGCGGAATGTGTAGAAATAAGTTTTGAGCATATATGAGTTTTGACGTCGAACACCATTCAAATAATTCGAATAATATATATATCATTAACATTAATTGTATGTCATTTATAGCATTTTTTACATAAAACTGGACAACATTAAATGTTAACCTTGAAATGTGGGATTTGTTCAATTACAAAATGAAGTTGCTATTGATTTAACTGATTTTTGTGGCATTTTTTTCTAAAACAAAAAAGGGCAATTCAATTAAAAAATGAATTTGCGGCTGATTTAATTGCTTTGTTTGACAATGTTTCTTGATAAAAAATAAAGTATGGCATAATTAAATCCTTAAAATGTGGATTTTGTTCAATTAATAAATAAAGTTGTGACATATTTAATTACGATATTGTGCACTCAAAATTCGAGTTTTCTTCAGTTCAATTTTTAAATTGCGGTTGGTTTAACTGTAACACGTGATGTATATAAACTTGAACAGATTTAACACTAACTATCCCTTAAATAAAGAATTTTATTGCATTTAAAAATACGAATTTTGAACTTTTAAGGTAGATTTTATTCTGCACGTGCGATGAAATATTTAACCTCTTTAAAATAAGTATTTGGTTCAGTTTGAAATTTAGAAAACCCCACCAATCACTACCACTAATAATCCCTTAAATTAAGGATGCTAATCTATTTTAAAATAAAAACCAGGACTTTAAAGGTAAAATTTATTCTACACGTTTTTCATAAATTTTAATCTCCTTAAATAAGTATTTGGATATGTTTGAAATTTTAAGAACCCCATCAATCACACGATTTACAAATTTAAAATTCTTAAGATGAAGGATTTGATTAAATTTCAAATTCAAAATCTTAAAATAAAATAATACGATTTGACATGTTTTATGTAACAAAATTAAGTTAGGCCACTCAATATTTTCAAAACCTTTTAAAATCTTACCATATATTATGCTAAATATTTTAATATATTAAAATACGCATGCTAACTGGTGCCATCAATT